CCCCAAAACCCCAAAACCCCAAAGCCCGCACTGAAAGTAGTTGAATTTATGAAATTAAGAAATAAAATCAATTAATCAAGATAATTAATCATAAATTTCATTATTGCTAAATGTAGTTGAACCTTTTCAGCTACATTGTGTGGTTATCTTTTTCCCCAATCAATTAAGGTGAGGCTTGGTTTTTCCTTATCTAAGCGAAAGGATCCTTTGTGCCAAACTTGGCTCTTAATGGACTATTTGGAGTTGTCAGACTCATAGGAGTTTTATTAATGCTTTGTTGTTAGAAGCTATCATTCAATACATTTTGATTTTAAATGGAGCTAACAACATCTAAAGCAGTACTTGGACTAAGTGTTTGATTGAATTGATTATGAATCATTCGCTTGTAAAGTTCTATGCTTTTCAGCCTGGTATTTTAAGTTGAATGAGATTCAAGGGTGTTATTTAATTGAGATGAATTTATCGTGTTCCTTTTTCGCATGCTCTGATGTCCTGTCCTTGGATCATTCTTCTTAATTTGGTTTTCAGGCAACTCGCTAAAGTCAATCTTATTGATTTACTTAGAAGAAGCCTCAACTATCGCAGAAGTCCTAGCTCTAAAATCATTGGATCCTAATCTTGATATTGATTGACTAAGATTATGCATGGGAGATCCTAGTTTTCTTTTAGAATTGAGTTCAGTGGCTCCCAACTGCTCTATCATGTCCTATTCAAATGTTTGCTTTAGTTTTCTTTTAGTGTCGACTAGCTTAGCTGTAACTGAATCTAATTTCTGCATGCCAAGAGTGTCGTCTCCATAGCCGAACTTCTTCGGATCGTATAAACCACCTTCAAGTAAAGAGCATAATTTTGTGTTATGAATCATCTGATTACCCTGCCCAAAATACTAGAAAGTTGCATTTTTTATGTAGTTTTTATTTGTTGCTAGCTATTTTTCAAGTTCACTCTACTTTTAGATGTAGGACTTATTTTCTTCGAGAATGTTGATATAGTCATTGAGCATGTTTCTGTAGAGAGCATCAAACCTGTCTAGTTCTCTCAAAAACGACTCATTTTCTCTTTTGAGATTCTGAACCTCATCAAGAAGTGGCTGCTTTTCTTCCTCTATCTTTTAGTACACTCCTTATATCTTCTGCAAAACAAATGACTTGAAGTATTCAAAGTCTGTCTGGATAGTATTCATAGCAACAAGATTGAGATTAGTACTAATAGACTGAGTTTAAAGCTATGGAGTGTAATTAATCTAAGACCTATTAGTAGAGCCGCCAAGATTAATATTCGGATACGAGTTTTGATCCTAGGTTATGAAAATGGAGGGATCTTGAACATTTATCTATAGAGAGTTGTTTGTTGCTCCGATTGCTGCAGTTTATTATTTGGTAGAACTGAGGACCTTTTTAACATATTCCTGGTTTTGCTTAATCACCACAAATTCTGTTTCCAAAGTCTTAAGCTTGACCCTTGTGTACTCCTTCTCTTGCTCTTGAACACTTTTCAAGTGGTTAGCATCCTTTTCTAACTATATCTTAATTTTGTTGCATTCCTATAATTTATATTGAGGTAGGCATAGCTAAGCATACATTGATAGTTTATTTTAAGTACTTTCTCTTGAGCTTTTCATCATAAGTTTCTTGCTCATTTATTTTCTGAGCCATGGTATCATACTGTCTGAGCAGTTTTAGAATCTTAATATGGTTCTCGTTTACGAATGTCTGAGGCAGCTTTATGTCTGTTTAGAGTATTTTTATCTATTTGTTAATGTTTTAGTTAATGTCAGACTTATAAATCATTACATTTTCAGAGTTTTCCTTAAGTCTGTGATTGATTATAACCAGCTCCTTCTTTAAGTTCTCTAGTTCCAAATTCTTTTCATTCTAGTCAGAGCTCTATCCACGTTTAATTCCTTGCAAAGCTCTCCTCCTTGGCGATGACCCTACAGATTATTAAATTTGCATTATTACATACATTTTGAAGTTCTCTTCATAGATGAGTTATTAGACATAAGATCATTTATCAGGTTATTTAATGGAGTTTTATCCCTCAGAGTTGTGTGACCATGACTTACATTCAAGTCTTGGTTGTCATAGTTAGAGTTAGTCTCCTATTACTTTCTCTTTCCTCCAACACTTATTTTAACTCCAATACTAGGCATATTATGTGGCTCTTCTGTTATAGTTTGCTCCCCATTAATTGATATACTCACAGCAGTAGCTTAATGCCTTGGTGAAGGGTCTCTATTTATTATCTCAATTATGTGATCAGGTATCTACTTCTATGAGTCCTTCTTGGAATTCTTCTTTCTCGTGGAGTGGTCTCTTGGTGTAACTGCCGTGTTGTTCCTCGTGTTAAGTTGAGCGAAGTCTGGATTTCCATGTGTGCTCCCTTTTCCAGAATGATTTTTAGGACTCATCAATGATTAAGCATGAAGGCTAGTCTCTAGCTTGATTTCTTCAGCCGGTAGGAAACCATGATTTTAAATTGGGATTTTACCTTAGCTAGACTTATTATTTTGGTTTTTCTGATGTTTTTTCCCTTTTTGAGATTGCAATTGATTTCTAGCTACACTATCATTATTTTCTCTCTATAGTTTTGCCCCAACATCAGTGCTCTTTGATTGAGGTGCGTCTTGATTTTCTTCTACAGTTATTGCTGCACCTTGGTTGTCATCTCTTGAAAATTCTGAACTTCCTCTCAGGACATTATCATTTCTAGTATTCCTAATAATTTTTTTAACATGTTCTGGTGGAGGTTTTATATTAGTTATGCTCATCATTGATTGATTATGGTCGGAATTATTTACTTAATCCTTAAGTTCCTCAGGGTCGACTTCATCATCTTCTCCATAAATTGTTTACTCCTCCTCGTCTTCCTCATCGACATAGAGGCCTTCATGAATTAGAATTTCTAGCCTGTTAATCTTATCAACACAGTCTTTGACTTCCACAGAGTCAGCCTTATTCTTTTGAACGCTCTCTAGATCAGTTTAGTCAGCTTTAGTCTCAAGTCTTTTATCTAGGATTGATTCATAATACTTTCCAGTCAATATTTGGTCCAGTTTAGTTTCAATTAATACTGCCTTCTCCAGCACATATGCTTGATCTCTCTGTACTTAAGCCTTGTTTGCTTTCTCCTTCAAAAAGCCTTAGATCTCTGATTTGAATGATGTTAGAATCTTATTAAGTTAGACGTTTTACTCATCAAGTTTAAGTTGAAACTGGGCATTGATATGAGCTGTTAAAGTGTCCAAGTAATTTTGGAGCGACTGATTCGTAACCAATTCTGTTGAATTAGCAAGTATCGATTATTTATGAAAATAATCTTCTAATGACTTTATTCTCCTATCTGCCCCTTCAAGCTAAATTTGAGTTTAAAATCTGAATTAATAGTAGATTAATAGTACTGAAATGAGAATGATTAAATGACATTAGATGTTAACTTACTTCTGAATTCATCTTTTAAAAAGACTGCTTGAGCGTTAAGAAATCAGCTAAGCCATCTCCTCTTCTTTTAAAAGTGGCTTTATCCTCATGCTGCTAATTAACTTCTATTTTGTTTCCATCCTTCAACTAGGCACTAAAAGTCACATCGGGTTTCCTAGGGTTTCCAATCTTCGTTTGCTCCATTAGGAAAGCTAAGTTATTATAAGAATTTAATCCTATGAAAAATTTATAATAAGCCTCTTTGAAACATTTAAAAAGACATTTTATTGATGGGGTTTTGGGGTTTTGGGG